AGCACCACGTCGGTGAGGGTGCCGCTCCGCCGGTACGCGTTGAGCGTCTGCAGGATGCGCTGCGCGTGGCAGGCTGCGGCGCACGGGGCCTCCACGCCCGGCTCCGACTCCTCGCGCCCCGGGGTCTCCCGCATCCTGCGGGAAGAGAACACAGATTGCATTGGGCATGGGGCTGCAGGGGGACGTCCCGCACATTGAGGCCTGCCTTCACTAGTTCGCCAACCATGCACTTTGGCCATGCACCTACTGTCCCCACCCCCACCCTGGCCCATCTAGACTTCTGATGGCGTTGAGTCAGCCCCTGCCTTCTGTGTCTGGTCTTCCCCTCCAGTACCTACTTCGGCCGTCTTGCCCTTTTCCGTTCGGGCTTGGCTAAGGTTTTTCCTGCCAGGCTCTGCAGGAAACAGATGGTAGACTCAAATAGGATAATTTAGGAGAGTCAAAAAGGGAGGGGGGTGGAACGATTTATACACGTCTAAGTTATGCAGTGTTTAGGGCTCGAACTGGGCTTGGATAGTGGCTCCCTCAGGGAGGTTGCTGAAACCTGGACAAAATGTCTGTAGGAAGGGTCCCGTTGCACGAGCTGTAGTCTCTGGTAAAGGGATTCCGGCTACCGTGAGTGTGTGTGTGTGTGTGTGTGTGTGTGTGTGTGTGTGTGTGTGTGTGTCCCTCTCTCGCTTCATGTCTCCTTCAGATCTGTAGGTACCTCCCTTTGACCAGACTCTTCCGTTTAGGATTTCCCCTAACCACCACAGCACACCAGCATACTATCCTGGGTGCTCAACACTTACACAAGACCAAGTGCGTGTATTAATTAAGCTAGTGTTTAATGATTTTTGAGCCAGACAGTCATAATCCCTACCTTTCTGGAGCTCAGAGCTTGGGCAGGGGTCCTTGGGGGAGGATTGGAGGAACTCAGAAAGGACAGTACACACAGCTGGAGGAGATTTAAGAAAGGGATTCCTGAGATGAGTAGAATTAGTTGAGTAAAGGCGGGGGAGTGAGAGATGTTTCTAGTTTCCAGGCTCTAGGCACGTGGGCTTCCAATCCTCCTTTAGTCTGGAGTTGTCTGGCCTGGGTAAGCCACCAGCCTGATCTCCTCTGAAGCAGATCATACCGGCTAGCCACAGAACGCTATCAGACGGGATGTGGGTAAGTGCTGGGGTTGTAGTATGTGCTTCCTCCTTCTCTCATGCAAAGGGGGCAGAACATGGGCTGTGTGTAAGTGGAGAAAAGCGTGAGGAATCGGTCACACAGAGGGAGCCTGCCCTTCCTTCACAGGTTTTGTGTGGGGGTCGGGAAGGGGCGTTTATGAAAACACGACACAGATTGCACTCTTCACCCTGGTTAGGATTTGGTCCTTAAGAACCCGCAGCCAACACTTGGCATGGTCTGGACATAGGCAGTGCTCTCCTTACCGTGGGAACTTACTCTGAGGAGGCTCAGCTCTGCCTCTGCGGGTGCCTTTCAAGCTCCATTCTCTCATCTACTGCTGAAGGGCAGATCAACCTGGCTTTCACAGTTTATGCAGGATCCTGCCGAGTAGTGGATCCACTGCCTCAGGGTCACAAGGACTAAGCCCCTGATGGACAATGACTGTTGCCCAGGTAGAGGCGACCAGCCCAAGCCCACCATGCACCAGGCTGTTAAGTCTAGCCCCTCTGCAGGACTTGCCGGTGTGTGTGTGGGGGGCATGTCCTCTAGGAACAACCAGGGATCCAGTGAGACTGTCCTTAGCTAGCCTAGGACACAGCGACCCTCTAGGCTGAGTCTTAGGAAGGCAGGCATTCTCAGGACAAGCCGCCTGCTATTGTGACGGTCCTTAAGTTCACCTCCTAGGAACTTTGCCAATACTTAATTCTACGGCCACCTACTGCTCTAGGCTCAGGGAACTATGGGCACCCGGTGATGGGAGACCCAGTTTCCATCGTGGAGTCCCACCATCTGGAGGGCCCAAGGACACATGGGAAGGTAGGGATTCCCACCTGGGGCTCCACCAGCCTTCTCCCATCTCACAGAGTCTAAGCCGGCTCACGGGCTGAGACTCAGCCAGTGGAAACTGGCTCAGCACTCCACTATCCTGCTACCCCCTCCCACTTCCACCCCCATGCACAAAACCCCTCTCCCCCACCCCCACCCCCACGCACACACTCACACTTTGGGTAGACACTTCCCACGGCAAGACAGTCCTCTAGCCAGGCTTCCCAAACCCTGCCCCCAGGTACTTGGTGCTTACCTGGCCACGCCCTCTTCCAGGGACTCGGAACTGCTGCTCTGGCAGAGACCGCTCCAGTCTGTGCCTGCCGCTAGCTAGCCGGCTTGCCCGCTCGCCCGCTTGCCCGCTTGCCTAGCAGCCCGAGCTCTTGATTTTACTCTCGTTTTTTGCCTAGACTCCCACTTGGGCTCAGCTGCGGGAGGACAAAGGGACTGGACGCCAGGGGGGAGGGGAGGAGAGGGAGCTGGTAGGAATGGGCACTGGGCTTTTGTTCCGCTCTTGGACCCGTCTTGGGAGGGAGGGAGGGGTGTGGATAGGCATGGGGTGGACTGCGTGTGCAGTGCTGGGCTGTGGTGTTTCGAGGACTGGGGGGTGACTGTGGGTGGTATGTGTATGGGGTGTCTGCCTCAGGTAGATGGGGTGGTTGTCAGCATGTAGTGTTCTAGCAGCTATATGTGTGTGAGTGCATGGAACACAGTGACTGTGTAGTCCTGGGGTGCTTGGGCTATGTGGACATATGACTACATGACTTTGGATGTAACCAAGAATGTGACTGCCACAGCTATGGATCCAGGTTTCCCGCCTGCCTCTTTGTGACTGCCATGTGTGTGTTCCTGCCTCACAGCACACCTGTCATTGTAGAATTTTGCATAACCCATTGTATCTGCGGCTGTTCATTTGCATGCCAGGGGCTTGTGTCTATGAGAGATTAGTATGGCACGTGTCTGTGTGGACACAGGCTCATGTGCATGTGACAAGGACCTCTCTGTGCTCTGCATGTTACGTGTATGTGGTCCTGTGACCGCCGTGTGTGCCTGGAGGAGTGTGGGCCTCCTGGAGAGGGCACAGTGGGAAGGACATGTCGGCACCAAGCACATGGAATTGGATGGAAAAGAGAACGGGACAGCCTGGGTCCGCTTGGCCTCCTGAAGCCAGAGGAGTGGATTGGGACGTGACCATTTGCTGCCTCTGTGGAGGACTGTCACCGAAGAGCACAGCAGTCTGGGGAGGAGGTGGCCTTGTTAGGGGCCTGTCCTGTTCTGTGAGCACACCACCACCGGCACTGGACAACTACAGCCTTGCCTGCCACTCAGCCTGGCTCTTCTCACCAGCAGGAGGGTAAGGGTGACTCCTGCTCTGCCGTGTGTGCGTGTGCGTGTGCGTGTGTGTGTGTGTGTGTGTGTGTGTGTGCGCGCGCGCGCGTGCACATGCACGCGTGTCAGAGCCCCATCCTGCCAGGCTCAGGTAGGCCTAGAGACTGGAAGATGGGAGGTATGGTTTGGCGTGAGTCTAAAGTGTCCTCTAACAGGCTTTACATGGGGCCAGTAAGATGGCTCAGCAGGTACCGGCACCTGCTTCTACGCCTAAGGACCTGAGGTCTGCAAGGCAGAAGGAGAGAACCTGCTCACACACATGCTATAGCACACAGGTGCCATGCACATACACACATTTGCACATACAAAACAAATACAATGTAATTTAAAAACATCTAAGCCAGTTGCAGTGGTGCACTCCTTTAATCCTAACACTCAGGAGGCAGAGGCAAGAAGATCTCTGTGGTTCTGGGACAGCCTGGTCTACAGAGTGAATTCTGGGATAGCCTGGGCTACATAGTGAGATGGTGTCTCAAAAAATGTTTTTTTTAAAAGCTCCACGTGTTGGGAGCTTAGTCCCTGGGCTGGTGCTGCAATGGAAAAGTCATTGAGGGTCTTCTTATTGTATTCGTCCATGAATGGGTTAATTGTTTGATGCTATCATTGCGATGTGGAGGAGCGTGGGAGCTGGGGTCTGGTTAGGTGGCCCTACACTTCCTTGCTCTCTGCCTCCTGTCCACCATTTTGTTCTGTCACATGCTCCCTGCCACTGTGGTGTTCTGCCTCACCATGCACAGGTCATAAATAGTGACCAAGTATTGAAACCTCTGAAACCGTGAGCCAAATAAATCTTTCCTCTTATTAAGTTGTTTTGCGCTGGTATCTTGTTTCAGTGATAAACATCTAACTAATGCAAGAGGGTTTGGCCGAGCTTGTGCTCTGAAGCCCGGGGGATGTTTGTCTATGGACCCTGCCTGTGCTGACTAGGTCCTTTTTAAAATTAAATTTATTTATTTTGGGGGTTAGGGACTTAGCTCAGTGGTAGAGCGCTTTCCTAGCAAGCGCAAGGCCCTGTGTTCGGTCCTCAGCTTCGGAAAAAAAGAAAAAAAATTATTTATTTTTAATGTATTGGTGTTTTGCTTGCAATGTATGTCTGTTTGAGGGTGTCAGATCCCTTAGAATTGGAGTTACAGACAGCTGTGAACTGCCATGCTGGGAATTGAACCTGGGTTGCTTTGGAAGTGCAGCCAGTGCTCTTAACCATTGAGCCATCTCCCCAGCTTGTGCTGACTAGTTTTATGTCAACCTGACACAAGTTAGAAGAGTCATTTGGGAAGAGAGACACTCAGTTGAAAGAATGTCCTCGCCTAATGGTCTATTGCCAGTTAGTTATAACACCTGTGTCAGCAGCACAGCCACCCCCGTGGGTCCCCAAGGTGGTGGCAGCTGTGCATTTTCTTGATTGGTGAGTGATGTGGGAGGGCCCATCCCACAGGGGGCAGGTGGTCTTGAGTTGTATAAGAAATCAAGCTGAGCAAACCAGGAGGAGCAAGCCAATAAACATTGTTCCTCCATGGTCCCTGCTTCATTCAGTTCCTGCCTCCTGGTTCCTGCCTTGAGTTGCTGCCCTGACTTCCTTCAGTGACCTGAGAGCTGTAAAATGTAATAAACCCTTTCCTCTCCAAGTTGCTTTTGGTCATGGTGTTTTTATCACAGGAATAGAAAAGTAACTAAGGGGCTGGAGAGATGGCTCAGAGGTCAAGAGCACTGGCTGCTCTTTCAGAGGTCCTGAGTTCAATTCCCAGCAACCACATGGTGGCTCACAACCATCCGTAATGAGATCTGGGGACCTCTTCTGGCACACAGGCACACATGCAGGCAGAACACTGTATACATAATAAATAAATAAACCAGACAGGAAATGGTTAACTGCTCTTGTACTGGGGGAGGAGAGAGCCTTTCTATGTAGGCATGAAAGGGTGTTACCGGGGCCGGGGAGATGGCTTAGCAGGCCACAGCACTTGCTGCCAAATCTGATAGCCTTGGATCAATCTCTGGGACCCTGTCACGGCTTCGGTTGTCAACCTGACACAAACCCAGAGTCCCTTGGGAAGATGGAACCTCAACTGAAGAACTGCCTCGTGAGACTGGTCTGTGGCCATGTCTGTGAAGTCTTGTCTATTTCTTTTTGGTTTTTCGAGACAGGGTTTCTCTGTGTAGCTTTGCGCCTTTCCTGGATCTCTCTCTGTAGACCAGGCTGGCCTCGAACTCACAGAGATGCCTGGCTCTGCTTCCCGAGTGCTGGGATTAAAGGCGTGCGCCACTGCTGCCGGGCCCTGTGAAGTCTTTTCTCAATTGCTAATTGATGTAGGAAGATCCACCCTGTGATGGGCAGTGCCATCCTAGACAGCTGGTCCTGGGATTCGTAAGAGAGGTATCTGTGCAAGCCAGAGGGAAGCAAGCCAGTGAGCAGTGTTCCTCCATGCTCTCTGCCTCAGTTCCTGCCTTGTGCTCTTGCCCTGGCTTCCCTTGACGACGGACTGTGACCTGTAAGCTAAAACAGATCCTTTCCTCACATTCCTTTTGGCCACAGTGTTTATCAGAACAACGGATAAAGACACCAGGACAGACCTACATGGTGGAAGGAAGAACGGACTCCCACAAGTTGCCCTCTGACCTCTACAGCTGTACCGTGACATACAAACACGTACACACATAGTAAGAAATTTAAAAGGATGGAAGTGGCTTGGGGACCCTTATACTTGGGGAGGGGCTGAGGGTTCACAGATGGGTTGCAGGAGATAGGGGGGTCATCTGAGCTAGAGGACACTAGAGGAGCGGAAGCAGGGATGCACAGGGAGTGGCCGGAATGTGAAAAGGCCCCTTTGTTTCTCTGTCAAGTGGGCAGTGAGGTGTCTTCTGTAGCCAAGGGAGCTACTGGAGAGCTTCAGCAAGGTGGGGTTTTCAGCAACCCCTAAGCCAGGGAGGAGAAGCCAGGGTGCAGCGTGAGCTGGAGGCCCAGGGGAGCATGGAGACAGGCCTGCCAGTCACTGCTTGGTGGACAGGGAAGTGGCCTGACTCCACTCGGGCCCTCCGGGCAGGGTTACCGCAGCAGGCTCTGGTGAGGGTGGGGTGCAACCCGAGATTCCGGATAGGACCCCGGGCTCTGCACTTCTTTACCCCCCTGCCTGTGATTGCAAGGTGTCTCAAGGCTCATCAGGATGGCCAGTGAGCCCAGGGGAGTTGACTGGATGGACAGTGAGAGGCTTCCACGAAACTGTCATCGTTTAGGAATGGGTTTCCAGAGGCTGGAGAGTGGCCATTGAGTCATGTGGGCAGGATAGCGCACCCCTCCCAACCTGGCAGATCTGGTTGTGTTCTGTGTCCAGGGACAGGCAGGCAGGAGATGATCTCTGCCCCAGAAAGAGAAGATCTTGCTAGATGTTCAGACGCCAGGGAAACAGTGGGTAAATCCTCCCAGATTCCCCAGGAAGGGGCTGTGTAGAAAGGTTAATGGAGAGGGGGGCTACTGAAGGGTCTGAATGTGGAAGGGGATCATTTCCTTTCTTCCTAGAAGGTGACAGAATCTTCTTATAGCAAGAATTCTATCTAGAACACCCACATTTGGAGATGTGACTGGTCCCCTAAGTGGCATGGCATTATCCTAATGCAGTGGCTCTCAACCTTCCTAATGCTGCGACCCTTTAATACAGTCCCTCATGGTGTGGTGACCCCCAACCATAAAATTACTTTCGTTGCTACTTCATAACTGTAGTTTTGCTACTGTTATGAATTATAATGTAAACATCTGTGTTTTCTGGTGGTCTTAGGCGACCCCTGTGAAAGGGTCCTTTGACCATCATAGGGGTTGGGACCCACAGGTCGAGAACCGCTGACCTAGTGCAGCATGGTGCAGGAGTTCAGCCTTCCTCCTTCTTCCATTCAGGATGCACTCAAGACCATGCAGATTCAGTGGGAGCCTCGAGAGTTAAAGACCTTCCCTGTTTCTACGGCTGATCTTCCCCGCAGAGGGCAGAAGGCAGAGTCCCAAAGACTGTGAGGTAGGAGGGGACATGACACCAGTGTTCCCAGTGCTGTGTTGACTTTCAGCCCAGGGACTGCTTCTCATGCTGAGCAGAGGGTGCCAGCCTGCCTCAGCCAGACCCACAGCCACTAAGGCAAGAGGCATCTCTGCACTCAGGGCTTGTTCTCCACATCCAGGAGCTCAGATACCTCCATGCCACCCTGAAAGACCTGCTAACCCCCCTCTATAGCCTGTCTCAGATCCAGACTCTCCACCCTGCCATGCCATTCCCAGCTGGTTACAAAAGGCCCTGCCCCCCACCCCATTACTCTCAGCAGAGCTGGAGTTTCCTTTTTTGGTTTTTGCTTTTGTTTTGTTTGAGCCAGGTATGGTGGAGCACACCTTTTTATCCCAGCACTAGGGAGTCGGAGGAAGGCAGTTCAAGGCCAGCCTGGTCTACATAGTGAATTCCAGGACAGCCAGGGATGCATGGAGGGACCCTGCCTCAAAAGAGAAATTATTATATGTGTATGGGTGTTTCTCTGTGTGTATGTCTGTACCACATGTGTGCAGTGGAGGCCAGTTACAGACAGCTGTGAGCCACCATGTGGGTGTTGGGTATTGAAACCTGCTCCTCTGGAGGAACAGCCAGTACTCTTCACCACTGAGCCATCTCTTCAGCCCACTGAAGTTTATTTTCAGGAAGACATTTTGGGGACTAGAGAGATGGGTCACTAAGGTTAAGAGCACTGGCTGCTCTTCCAGAGGAACCAAGCTTGGTTCCCAGCACCCATATCAAGTGGCTCACAACAGCTTGTACCTCAGACCCAGGAGAGCCAATACAGTCTTCTGGACTCTGAGGGTGCCCACATACAAGGGGCATGTATACATACACACGAATAAATAATTTTTTTTTAAATTTAAAAAGATATTTTTTAAAGGCATGCGCCACCACACTCTAGCAAGACATTTTTAAACATGAGAGTTCAGGGTGTGGATATGGACTTCTCAAAGATGTGGACTTGTTCAAAGCTACGTGGCCTTGGGTGGTCACTTTGCCATGTTGCACCCCCGTCCCCAATGAAAGGGCGTTCATTGGTTTCGCAATTCAGGGCTCCTGAAGCCTAGGCATCATGGCTGACCAAGGGAAGAGCTCAGATAGTCAGTCATTTTCACTTTCGTTTGTGAAATGGCTCTTCCTCAAACCCAGGGCCCAGCCCGCAACCCCAGATTCACATGATGTGTCCCCAGATTGCCACTGACAGTTCAGAGACACCACACGTTGAGATGGCAGCTTTAATTGTCCTAGCCCTTAGGTTCCCTTTCCTGCAGGCATCTTTGGCCAGACACCCGTGCTTGACGGAGTCCAGAGCATTTTGCCCAGGTGGCCCACTGCCCTGTGGCCACGGCTGTGGGAACCCAAGGTCCTATCAGTCTGTTGTTGATTATCTGGTCTCCAAGGCTGCTTCTGCCCAGAGGCCTCTTGGACAGTTGGGTATGAGGCAGAACAGCCGCAGCCTGTGATTCTGGCCATCTTTAGCTAGTTCTCAGGGACAGGGGCCAGTGGTGGAGGGAAGCTGGTTGGGAGGAACGCGTCTCCATCATAGCCGCTGGTTTTCCTCCTGAGATGAACCTCCTTGTGCTTTGAGATGGGAGCAGAAAGTGGAGCTGCCAGCAGGGGTGAGGCCCAGCAGGGGCGAGGCCCAGCAGGGGCGAGGCCCAACCAACGTCCTCAAGGCAGGATGAGAACAGAGTCATCTCACAGCACAGACAGAGAAATAGACAGGAGTGGGCGCAGGGGAAGCATCCACGTTCTCCACTTCCAGGGGGCACATGGCCCAGGCCAGTGACTCACCAACCTTCCAGGCTGGGAGGCTGAGGATGGCCTTGAGAGTGGACCAGGAGACCAGGCCCTCCCTTCCTGGATGAAAAGCCCCAGGCCTGCAGGGGCATCTGAGAGGCTAGAGTCCAGGCCCAGCTGAGCCTCAGTGGAGAGGGCGCCACCCGCAAGAGAGGCTGGAACTGACCAGGGAGCTGGGAGCATCCAAGCAGGCTGCAGAACCAGCCCCCAGGGCACGCCAGGTGCGGTTTCTGCCAGCTCTGGTTCCTGCCAGCTCTGCTCTTCGGGATGCTACCTTAGGTACAAGCTGGGCAGACAGATCTTCAGCTAATGCCCACCCCGGTCCGTGAGGGTCTTGGCACGGCTACCACCACCTCGAGGGCCCACGGGAGTGGCTGTGCTGTTGGCATAGGTGTCGTAACTGCTGTCTGAACACACGGAGAGCTCGTCAGAGACCTCCACGCCATCACTGATCTCTGTTGGACCAGAGGAGACAGAATGTGAGTGGGGCAGACGGGCTCTGAGGACAGGGAGACGACAAGAGGAGAGGAAGGCACTTAGAGGCAGCTGTAACCAGTGGATCCAGTTAGCACTGAGCCCGTGGGCACTGAGCCTGGCGTTCAGGGGCCCCTTGGTCCCTCCTGGGCCCTTAGTCCTCTGCAGCCCCCCCCAACATCCTGCTGCAGAAAACCATGGCACCCCTAGGTGCCTTGTCACTCCGTGATTACTTTTCTCCAGGCATTTGGACACACAGGCTTCTCTCTGTTGAGTGACTTCCCTCCCCAGAAATCCCTCTTTTTCCTAAAATCAGGCTCAGATCTCCCCATCTCTGGTATGTTGGTCTACCAGCCACCTCCTTGAGTCCCCAGACTGGGTTGGGGTCTCCTATTTCAAGCCAGCCTGGTTCATCCAGCCCCCATCACAGCCCGCAAGGGTGGGGGCCTGAGCAGAGCCCCTCGAGGACACCCGTGTCCTAATGTTGGCAGAGCTGGGCAGAGCTGAGGTTCTGGAACGTGGCTCTGTGGAATGCTGCTTGGCTCTTTGTGCCTGGACAAGCAGCGCAGCCTTGGGGGGGCATACCCGTTCCCCCGGGAGCCTCCTTTCTTGTGTCTGAGCATCCCACTACACAGGCACCTCTGGTCCTCCTCCACACCCCAGCTACATCACCACCGCAGGCCTTCCTTGCCGCCCCAGGGAGCCCTGAGCACACTTTCTGCCTTGGCTCTTCTCACAAGAGCTGCAGTGACGCCTTGTTTTGCCCATGTCTTTACAGCTGCCTTCATCAGACTGGGAACGTCAGCAGGGACCGGCAGTGGACAGAGCATGGTCGCCACTTAGCAGAGTCGTGTGTGAACCAAGGAAAGGTGTAGGACCTTCAGACAGACACCCCACCCCCTACCCCAGCTCGTCACCTTTGTTTCCCCACCAAAGGCTGACACTGAGCCCCTGGATCTGGGGTTGTCTGATGTGGAGATGCATGTGTTTCTATCCCTCAGTAGGTGCACGGGTGAGGACCTGAGAAGAGGTTATGTCCAACTGCCCTGTTGTGTTACATGTGCACCCCCTAATCCAGGGTCCATGCAGGCTGTCACCTGAGAAGATGAGCTTCTCTTTCATGATGCTAACGTCCCGGCTGGTCCGGCGTACGGCGGCGCTCAGCATGATCTGCTCCGGGTTGTAGCTCCGGATGCCACCCAGACGCCACCTGCAGAGACGGCCCCATGGGCATCAGGTCCTTCCCTAGCCTCCCTGGAGCAGACACCCTGCCCATTTCCAGAGCCTCTCCTGATGTGGCCTGAGAGTCACAGCATAAATGGGTAAACTGAGGCTCAGAGAGGGGCGGTCTACTGATTCCCAGCCAGGGTTCTCCTGCCTCTTTCTCTCCCCTCATTTATCAGCAGCCCTGGCCCAGATAGGCAGTTTTATTAGTTCCGTCCTGGCTCTCTTTGGGTGGGACAGTCGAGGATGGGAAGGAGCTCAGCAGATGTGACTGACACCTGCTTTATGGACACACCAGCCTCAGGAAGCCCCAGCAGAGGCCTCCTATAAACCCGCCAATGCAATGGGCTGAGGGAAGCCAGAAGGGGCCAAAGAGGACTGGCCCTCACAGGTCCCCAGACAAGGATGTTACAGGAACTTGGTATGGAGTTATCCGATTAGAAATAAGCACCCTGGATTCCCCAGGAGATGGGACCCTGATGGGTGGTTGGAGGCAGTGAAGACTCCATAGGAAACTCACTGTGGGTTTCTAGATGGGGAAATGGACAGACAGGGTGGCAGGACGGAGCAAACGGGGGGAAGCAGGAGGCAGGAGGGGAAGGCACTGTGCCTGGGCTGGGCCGGCTGCCTTGCCAATCCTTGTGGCCAGGGCTTGTTCCTCTGGCTCCTGGTCAGGCCCCCAGCGCCAGCCTCAATGCCCAGGGAGTTGCGGTGTTGGCCAAGTGTTTGTTGAATCAATGAATGAAAGAATAAGGCCCGCAGAGAAATTATCTTCCCCTTGCTTCATCTCCCAGGTCCCCTCTTCTCCCTCTGCCTATTCCCTCAGGAGACAATGACTCTGCCCGAGCTATGTCTGGTGGGCTCAGGACCACACCAGGCAGCGCCATGTGGACTCTGCAGGTGGAAAGAAGTTATGCAAGCTGAACTTCCTTTCCAGAGCTCAGTCCTGGACCCTGGCCTAGAAGCTGTTCAGCTAAGCTGCCTGACCCAGCAGGTCCTAAGACACCTGACCATCCCTAATACCTAGGTCTCACCTTGGCCACTAATGTTAGCATCCACTGGGGGAAAGTGTCAGGCCAGGGTCTCTACAGCCAGGCACATCCGGGACAGGAAAGCCACTGGGGGCGCGCGCGGGGGGGGGGGGGGGGTCCTCCCGGGGGAAGGAGAAAGGAGTGAGGGCGTGGGTCATAGACAGTGAAAAAGAAAAGGCGATGGGAGAGAGACAGAGAAACAGCATGGACCACCGGAAAGGAAGTCCCGAGAGGCGGAAGCCAACGGAGCAGGAGAGAAACAGAAATGGGACTTCGCAAGGGGCAGGTGGCAAAGGGCCCCCTGAGTGCTGGACTTGGGGATGTGAGGGCCCTGTCCCCAGGGGAGACACTCCGGTGCTGAGGGAAGCTGGGTCAGCACCTGCCAAGGAAACGCTGCTCCCCACCTGCAAAAACTGCAGCGGGGACTAACTAGTACAGCACACGCGGCCAGACCGGAAGAATCAATCCCAGCACACAGGGGGCTGAGGCAGGAGGATTGAAAGTCGGAGGACAGCCTGGGCTACGGAGTGAGAGCTCGTCTCCAAGGAAAAAGGAAAAGAAAAGGAACGAGCGGAAAGGAGGGCGGGGTGGGAGGGTGGAGACGGCCAGTGCTGCGGGCAGAGGTGGGCAAGGTGACCCAGCACTTGCTGAACAGCAGCTTTTCAGACAGACCTGGAAAGGGAGTGGCCAGAAGGGGGAAGAGGAGCAGGAGGGCACACACCAGAATTACCTGATCAAGTGATAGCTGTGAGAGGCCAGAGTGCAGCAGAGAGGGGGAGGGGAGAGAGGAGGGACATGCGCCATCAGAGCAGGATGGGACAGAGAGAGAACGTCAGTCAAGAGCCAACCCCAGCCCCTTAGTTCCTGGTTGCCTAGGGCCCCAGGCTGGCCCAACACCTTCCCCTCCCCGGACCACCCATCCCACCCATGGCAATCACATGCCAGCTGTCTTAAGGGGTGTGGAGGTTTCAGTTGGCAGAGTAGCCCTCGGGTCCTCCCAGGAGTGAACCCATGCCCTGGCTGACAGTGGGCAGACCGGCCACAGAGGGGGCAGCGTCCACCAGATAGCACACAGCAGATCAGGGCAAGGTTTGGCTCTGAGCCCCGAGCTGGGCGCTCATTCTAGAGGCCATCCGGCTTCTGCTGAGGGTGGGTGGGGCCTGGGCCTGCTGAGGGTAGGCCGGTGATGGACATGTTGGGGTCTACTCACTTCTGGAGCACGAAGATGCCGATGATGAGGCTGAAGGAGATCAGGTCGGCAGTGACCCACATGAGGCAGTACTCGTCTGGGGGCTGTGGAGAAATGACCCAAGACCAGCTTACGGTCATGGCTCACCTAGACCAAGGGGCCATAGACTGCGGGACCTCTTACAGTCATGGCTCACCTAGACCAAGGGGCCGTAGACTGCGGGACTTCTTATATTAGACTAATGAGGAAGGGCAGGGGAGGAGCTTGAGGTGCCTTAATATTTTATTTTGTAAGAGTGGACTCTGGGCATGTTGGGCTAAGGTGTGCATGTGCGTGTGTGCGTGCGTGCATGCATGCGTGTGTGTGTGTGTGTGTGTGTGTGTGTGTGTGTGTGTGTGTGTGTGTGTGTGTGTGTGTGTGTGTATTTCACGGTAGAAGTGGTGTGCGGAGTCTCAAGTGTGTGTAAGCTTACAGGAGCTCAAAGCAAGAGCCAAATGATACAAGACAGGTCCTTTATTTGCATGTAAGGTGCCACGTGCCTGGCAGATGGATATGTGACCCCACAAATAGGTATGGGACAAGAGGACATTGATCACAGGGCCTGGGGAAAACAAAGCCCCATATGTACAGCCTCAGCACCTTCAACCAAGACAAATGGGGGGCACTTTTGGGGTCCATCAGCTCCGTGGGGCCTGCACCCTTCTGCTGCCTGCCTGTTAGTTCATGTCACCTTCGAGGAGTGTTGGGAGCATTTAAGGACCACAATTGGAAAGTGGCTCTTTCAGGCTTGGCAGGGGCCTGATGAGCTGCATCGGTCTGAAGCTCACGGCCCAGACCTCCATAGCTCCCTGTCCACCACGGGGGCCCTCTTGGCCCGGGCCACACCTCTTTCCTGAAACCACCTGTAACTTAGCTCTGACTTGCCAACACTGCCGCCCTTAGCTATGGAGCACTTTCCCTGTCTTTGCGCCCTCGGGGACCTGGCAGGGGAGCCTCTGCCTCACTCCTGGGGTTACCTCAGGGGCAGGGGCGGGAACTCAGCTCGTCTCAGGTGCTCCACGACTGACCTCCACACACTCCTCATGGTCCTCCAAGTAGACCTGTGCTGTACCCACCCTCTTTTTGGAACAACTTCCTTTTTTTTTTTTTTT